TGCTCAGGCCATTCGTTCATAGGGTCGCTATGAGTTGTCTACGACTCGACGGCACTAAACAACAACAAACAACAAATGTTATTATATTATTATAATAATAATTCTCTAACTGGCAAGGGCCTCAATCATATGTAAGGATAGAAAAGGACATTTGCAGAAGTTCAAGGACTGAAAACTATATCTCATGTAAACTTTCTAAGAGAGTTACAAGAGGATATTATTGTTAGATGCTGTCCAGTGGAGTATGACCAATAGCGACCCTATGAACAACAGATCTTAATCCTGTCCTATCCTGTGACATCCTCCCACTTCCTGACAAGTTAGAGCCCATTGTGGCAGTCACCATCTCAATCCACCTGTTTGAGGGTCCTCCTCTCCTTGCTGATCCTCCACATTTCCACGCATCATGTCCCTCTCCACAAAATAGCCCCTCCTAACACCATGCCCAAAATATGTGAGGTAAACATCACCATCTTCGCCTCCAAAGAGCACTACAGATGCATTCTTTCCACACTTGTTTGTTTGTTGTTTGATAACCCATGGGATGTTCAGCGTTCTTCTCTAACACGACTGCTCAAAGGCTTCAATTCTGTAATCCTTATTCGTTGTCCAGCTCTCAGATGCATAGCAAATCAAAGTGAAGAAAAAGACAATGATCCAGGAAAGAGGAAGAAAAACAGACCTTAGAGGATAAAACATTTAAAATGCACAAAGAACAACCAGTCCAGGGTGAAAGAGTAAAAGAACTCTAGGGAAAAAAATAACTAAATATATGAATAGGTTTGTCTGATCTCATAGAAAACAAAATTCCATAAAGGTTTAAAATTTCATTATGTAGTTATGTGAAGACCTAAGAATCATTTTATCCATAAGAAATTAAACAATGCTGAAATTAGAGAGGGACACATAATAGGGAGAATATACAGCTTGAAGAGAGCTCTTTTGGATAAGGAATTGTGCTATCAACGTAAAGACACATGGTTCAAATCTACCACCTACACCATGGAAGAAAGATGCATCATCAACTCCTGTACTTGTTACTACCTTTGAAAACCCACAGGAAGGTCAGATATCAGTGAGTCCTGACTCAAAAATACCCCACTACAACATGCAGACTGAGGGGGAAAGATAAGAAAGTTGCGTATTAAAAAGGAAGAGTAATCACAAAACGTTTCTTATGGCAAGGTAGCCTACAAAAAGTACTTATAATGTAAATACAAGCTGGCTTTAGAAGAGGTTTTGGCACCAGAGATTCCATGCTGACATCAGTTAGATACTGGTTGAAAGCAAAGAATACCAGAAGAATGTCTGCTTGTGTCTCATTGACTATGCATATCATAAAAAACTATGGCTAACATCAAGAAGAATGGAAATCTCAGAACACTTAATTGTGCCCATATAGAATGGTTTAAAACTGGGAAGGGTGTATGCCAGGGATGTGTTCTATCTCCATACCTTTTTCAATCTATATATAGAACAGATTATCTAGGAGGCTGGGCTTTGTGAGGAGAAATGTGGCATCAGGATTGGAGGAAGAATCATCAGTAACCTACATTATGCAGATGACACAACCCTAATTGCTGAAACTTTGGAAGACCTGAAGTGCTTGTTGCTGAAGGTTAATAACTGCAACCTTCAATATAGATCAAAGCTCAATATCAAAACAATAAAGATTCTTACCACTGGGCTGATAGACAGCATTATGATAGATGGTGAAGAGATTGAAATTGTTACCAGCTTTAGTTTGCTTGGCTCCACAATCAGCAACAAATTACACTGGGAAAGTGAGCTATCAGGTTCTGAAGAGCAACGATGGCAGCCTGGAGACAAAGGTCCACCTGATCTAGACCATAGTCTTCACAAATGCTTGTTCTGCATTAGAGAGCTGGACAAAGATGATAGAAAGACAATTGATGCTTTTGAGCTGTGGTGCTGAAGAGGAGTACAGAATATACCATGGACTGCCAGGAGAACAAACATGTTTGTCCTAGAGAGGGTAAAACCTGACTGCTCCTTGAAGACAAGGATTCTGAGGCTTCATCTGACATACTTTGCATATGTTGCAAGGAGGGACCAATCCTTGGAGAAGGACATCATGCTTGGGAGGGTGGAGGGACAGAGAAAGAGAGGAAGACCATTGATGAAATGGATGGATTCAATGACTGGGATAATGAGGGTAGATGTGCCAGAGAGACAGCAAAGTTGGCGCAGGTTAGAGCAGGTCTCAGGACTATTGTACATAGAGGTGTTAAAAGTCACAAGCGACTTGATGGCACGTAACAACAGCAAACCAAGTAGCTATTCTCTCAATCAATCAGGAACATTGCATGGTTTAAAATCAGGAAGGAAAGAAGCACTGAAATCTTGAAGGCAGTGGTTCAAATCTACCAGATGCTCCATTGAAGAAGGAGGGCCAATCTCCTCCTGTACCAGTTGGATCCGACTCAACACAACAAGAAAAATAAAGAAAAGGTCTGCCTTAAAAAAATTTTTTTAAAAAGTAAATAAAATCAGGAAGGATGTATGTTAGGTTTGTATCCCTTCTGCTGATCTATGTATGCTAAGCAAATAATTCACAAAGCTGGACTCGATGAAGAAGAACGGGACATCAGGATTAGAAGAGGACTCATCAAAAATCTGCAGATGATTTATTGCCGAAGATCCAGGACTACAGCATCAAGAAAACTAAAGTTCTCACCACAGGACCAGTAGTCAACATCAAGAAGATAAAGGATTGACGGTGTCAATGATTCCTTCTGGCTTGGATCAACAATCAATACCCTTGATACCAGAAGTCAGGAAACTAGGAAATGTATTGCATTGGGCAAGGCTGCTGTCAGGGACGTCTCCAAGATATTGACAAGCAATAAGGTCAGTTTGAAGACTAAGATGCTCCTGATTCAGTCCATGGTCTTCTCAATCACCTGCTATGGACCAAAGAGCTGAACAACAAGGATGACAGAAGAATAATTCATATCTTTGTAGTACTGCATGAAGAAGAGTACTGAATATCCCACGGATTGCCATAAGAACAAACAGATATGTCTTGCAAAAAGGTAGCCAGAGTACTCCTTGGGGGCAAAGATGGCAAAGCTTTGTCTTTCTTACTTTGTATATGTAGTCAGCAAAGCTATGTCTTGGAAAGGGGCATCGTGTTTGGAAAGATGGAGGGTCAGTGAAGAAGAAGACTCCCAATGAGATGGACAGACAAGATGACATCAACAATGGGTTCTAGTGTGTCTGAGATGTTGAAGAAAGAACAGGATAAGGCAGGGTTTAGGTCGGTTGTTCATAAACTTGTTATCAGTCATACTCAACTTGACAGCAACTAACAACAACAATAACTGAGTGAAACATAAATTGTGATGTAACTATTTTAAGATCTATCCATATTGAATAAAGGTTAAGGGCTGGAAATGACAGGAGAAGAGGAAAATTAGATCTACTCAAACAGGAAGTCAATAGATAATCTCTGAGAATATAAGCCAAAAATTAGTGTAAAATTTAGTTATATGAGACTAAAAGCCAGGAAATAAAACCCTTAAAGAGTGAAAATGGTTTCTTGTAAATAGTGAATCTAGTGTAGCAAGGTTAGGACAAGATATGTTCTTGCTATTATTGTAGGCTTTATAGTATTTTGATATTTTACATTTCAAATACGATTTGCTTTGAGAATATTTAATTAGAAAAGGAAATATACAAGTTAAATGCTTACCATAGTTGATAGCACAAAGTAAGAGCCAATAATAGCAATAAAAACTAACATATGCTGATACTGCACTGAGTGTTTCTCAAATAATCTCATTTAATCCTCTCAATATTTTGCTTGTAAAGCTACTGAAGTCCCTAAAAAAATGTCACTGCTCTCAAGCACCACAGTTAATTAAAAGTAGAACCAAGATTTTCCCGTACGGAGTTACATTGCTAAGGCAAGGCTATACATCTCTGGTGATCACATCCACCAATGGCTCCAAAGAAGAAAGATGGGCAAATTCTTCCCATGGGCTTTACAGTCTCAAAAACCCAACAGAGGGTCAACTATGAGTTGGTTCCAACTTAAAAGCAATGAGAGTGAGTGAGTGAATTCTTAGCCCCCAACTTACACTGTACCCAGGATAATAATATCCTTTTTTGGGGGGCTGAAGTATTGGCTAGTAAGTGGATTAACACAGTCTTCAGCTTCTAAATTCTTAGTTGTTTCAATACAGCCTGCTTTGTCATAAGGCTCATATTTTATTTCCAATGGACGTATTTGCTAGAATCACAAGAATTACAATGTTTGTACTCAACAATTGTACATTTTTCCCCCTTACAAAATCCTTATTTACACTTGCTGTTCCTAAAATCGATTTGATTCCTATGCATACTATCAGGTGAGATCTCTGTGTATAGCCTGTGTTTCTGTTTCTTATAAAAGGTATTGGAAATGAATAAATCATTGAATGTGCAGAACTCTATCACTCTATCTCCAGCCTCATTTTTCTCACCGAGCCCGTGTTTTCCAGCTACTGATCCTTCTTCCCTGATCCCAACCTTTGTGTTCCAGTCTCCCGTTATTATCAAGGCATCTTGATTGCATGTTTGATCAATTTCTGACTGCAAAAGTTGGTATAAA